TGCCAAGCGCCTCCAACGAGTGTTCGAATGACTGGCGGACGTTGTGGTAATGTCTAAAATTTGGCTCAGCACCTGTCTTGCTATGGACACTGAGCAGGCTTACCCAAGCTTTGTGGTCATGAAGACTTCGCTGCGGGGGATGCCGGACTCTCGGATGGCTTCACCGACAGAGCTCTCGTTACCTGGGAGACAAGAGGTCATTATTCAATATGATCTGCACAAATTCCCTCGATTACTTGCCATAGCCAGGAGCCTGTCATGTATGTCATAATTAGAGGGCAGACTCTTGCTCTGCACCCGAACATGAACAGCCGCTTACAGTATCCAGGTGACGATATCCGACCTGAGGAGATGCATCTACTGAGCTCTAGAACCTGTCTGAGCAAAATAGGAGACGCACTTTGAGCGCGTTCAGGCACATCGCCCTCGTAGTCGTACGGTCTCCCTCGATCCCAAGCCAGCATCTGTCACCGAAGATCGTCGTGAGCTGTCAACAACTCCGAGGGTACACGCGAGTCACACGCACCCTTTGCCGACTCCGGGCATCTCGATGCCGTTGTTCAACGTGAATTGCGGCACGTTCGCAGCCATTCTAGGAGGCTGGTGGCACGATATGTAGTGGATGGCGCTCTACCTGTGGCCGACCTCGCGTATAAATACGCCGTCCACGACCTGTGGATTGTAAAATCAGCGCCAGCCAGGTGCTGTTCGAGGGGTGCTTACTGATGCATTGAGAGAGAGAGGCGGAACGGACATGACAGCCTGAGCGCTGAGCACTTGTGCAATCGAATCGCAGGGGTCGCTCCGGCCGGACGATGGCGTACACGCAGAGCCGTACCCAGACTCGCCAAAGTATCCGCGCTCGGCAGTCCAATTACGCGTTTGTCACGGCAGTCCACGTACTTGCGCGTTTGGCACGGCAGCCTCTCGCGGTGTCCTTACTCCGTCGTCCGATGCGTAACGCTGGGCCGGTCTCAAGCGGCCGTTGCTCACATACTGCAGCTCCGCCGCCACGACGCGTACCATGCAGGGGTTCCAGAGCCGGAGAGTGCTGTTCCAGAGTAGCGCGCCGAGCATTGTACAATGCCCGCGCGAGCCGCATCACACATGCGGGAGCGTCACTTTTGGGGTGAAAAGAGCAAGGGGGGCACAAAGACGTCCTTCGACGCACGTCTGTTACGACGTGACATGCCCGAAGCCTGATGAGGGAGCGCATCGCAGCACAGGAAGTCTGTTCGGAGGCTTTTGATCGACGTCTGGTGAGCTTGGGCAGAGGTGAGTACGTGCGGCAATGGCAATTGCGCCACCACGTAAGGCAGGTCCGTAACGGGGTTTGCCGCCCATTCAAGGGGAAAATTGGTAAGCTTGCTGCGCAATGTCAGCATACAGACGCCGCTCGTACACGGCGCTGCGCACAGGCGGCGGCTGCTACCGCAAGAACGCCACACGAGTGACAGCCTGTGCAAACGACGCGTTCGTGTAGGAGGAATTGGTAGGCTCAGTACCAGCCGCCTTGCGCTGCGGAATGGCAGATGCTGTACCGACCATCGTCCCACCCTCGGCGCGTCCCCACCAACTGTGAGTAGACTGGTACTAACGAGTCTGTGAGAGGGACGCACTATATGCGGTTCTGTCCAGAGTCTCCAAGAGATCTTGGCGGGTTCGAGAGCTCTTCCACGCGGAGGTAAGCTCTCGCCGTGCCGAACTACCAAACCGGACGACCTTGTGACGCTGACACAACTGCTACAGATCTGACCTTTGAACATCCGGTTATTGAGCGGATGATCGACGTCCAGTTTGCCAGATCTTGGAAATCTCCACCACTGGTTAAAACGGTGACAGCGGAAACAAAAAAAGTAGTACGCATGGTATTCTGAGAAAAAGCGAACACAAGACTAATATTCCGTGAGAATTCCATGTATACACGCATGCAAAACGTCTGTCCTGTGAACACAAGAGTTCGAGAGAGTCCAATTCCACCTCACTCCAACCGTTTAGAGAACAAGCCCGGCGCCTGCCACGATGCCAGCGAGGGCCACACCCATGCTCGCCAGCGCATTCCAGTCGACAGCGACCGCGCCGGCCGCGCCCGTGCTCGTCGTCGCACTGCTCGCGGCCGAGCCCGATGCACTAGACGCGGCGCTCGTCGCGGAGGAGAGGACGCTAGAGAGTGCGGCTGAGATCGACGACGCGCCAGAGGACGCGGCGCTCGCGGCAGAAGATGCGACGGAGGACGCGGCGCTCGATGCGGAGGACGCGAGAGAGGACGCGACGCCCGAGGCCGAAGACGCAGCAGAGGACGCCACGGAGGCGGCTGACGAGGCTGACGAGGCTGCGCTGCCGGTGGCGCTCGAGGAGGAGGCGGCGGCGGACGAGGTTGCGGAGCTTGCACCGGACGATGCTAGGGTTCAATAACGGGAGCAGTCAGTTGACGCAGTCCGACGCAACTGCGGGAAGACGTTTACCGCTGACGGCGGCGCACTGTGCCGCCTGGAGCGCAGTGACGGACGGGATGTCACCCGGGCAGTTGCTCTGAATGCAGGAGAGGGTGGCGGCCTGGAAAGCGGCATTCGTGCAGAGACATGTGATATCACTACCAGAAGCATTGTGGGGGTCAGCACTGGGACATGGATGGGTGAAAGAGACGGCACGGGTGACTTACGTGACCGAGCATCCGTTCGCGGCCGCGGCCTGGGCGATGCAGGTGGTGGTGCAAGCGTCGATCGAGGGGGTGGGCGACGCTGTCTGGGCGTGCGCC